TGTATTTGACTCATAAAGCATCTTCCTTTTACACAATAGTATTTTCATGAAGAATGATAATCATGCATGCACGGGGCTCTGAGCATTTTTTTTTTTTGAAAAAAAAGCGTAACCTTGATGCACTTGCAGGCCAGAAAGCTTTATCTGACACACCCAAGTTTTCTTTTTTGGTTTTTTTGTGGAGATTACGTTATAATGCTAATTTTGTCTTCAATTTGTGGTTAAAAAAAATGCTGTCAAACAATTGCCATTAGCAAACTTTCAAATTTAGAAATGGAGAATGTTGGGGTAGCCAAGGTATAAGTCGTTTTTTTTTTTTTTTTTTTTTGGATTCGATTCGATTCTTTTGGCATTCTAACATTGAGTCCCTCTGCAATTGCTTCCATTGCGAATTGATGAGAAACCTCAGATTTTTGTTTGATTTTGTATTGGACTTACTATAGCATGCTTTTTCTATCTTCAGTTTGTTAATACTGCAAATGACTAAACATAGCTATGAGATCTGAGGGCTTTGTTGATCATTTTGAATCCCAGACTTTATCATGCTATTTTGTTTTCTTCGCAAATGATTTGCATCTTGATTAGTTGATTATACTCGTGCCTACATTTCACTGAATGCATAAATAAGTAATTAGCAGTTGTCTACCATGGGAATTTTTTGGCTGTTGGTTTTGTTCTTTAGTGACTACAGTTTGGAAATGTGATGCTACTGATTGGTAGTACGTTTTCTCATTGGGATGGTTTATATGAATTTTTTAGCTTCGTTAGTCTATGAATTTTGTCAATCCCGCTGAATGCTAATTTTGTTTTTGGTTTTTTTGTAGAGATTACGTTATAATGCTAATTTTGTCTTCAATTTGTGGTTAAAAAAAATGCTGTTAAACAATTTGCATTAGCAAACTTTCAAATTTATAAATGGAGAATGTTGGGGTAGCAAGTATAAGTCGTTTTTTTTTTTTTTTTTGATTCGATTCGATTCTTTGGCATTCTAACATTGAGTCCCTCTGCAATTGCTTCCATTGCGAATTGATGAGAAACCTCAGATTTTTGTTTGATTTTGTATTGGACTTACTATAGCATGCTTTTTCTATCTGCAGTTTGTTAATACTGCAAATGACTAAACATAGCTATGAGATCTGAGGGCTTTGTTGATCATTTTGAATCCCAGACTTTATCATGCTATTTTGTTTTCTTCGCAAATGATTTGCATCTTGATTAGTTGATTATACTCGTGCCTACATTTCACTGAATGCATAAATAAGTAATTAGCAGTTGTCTACCATGAGAATTTTTTGGCTGTTGGTTTTGTTCTTTAGTGACTACAGTTTGGAAATGTGATGCTACTGATTGGTAGTACGTTTTCTCATTGGGATGGTTTATATGAATTTTTTAGCTTCGTTAGTCTATGAATTTTGTCAATCCCGCTGAATGCTAATTTTGTTTTTGGTTTTTTTGTAGAGATTACGTTATAATGCTAATTTTGTCTTCAATTTGTGGTTAAAAAAAATGCTGTTAAACAATTTGCATTAGCAAACTTTCAAATTTATAAATGGAGAATGTTGGGGTAGCAAGTATAAGTCGTTTTTTTTTTTTTTTTGATTCGATTCGATTCTTTGGCATTCTAACATTGAGTCCCTCTGCATTTGCTTCCATTGCGAATTGATGAGAAACCTCAGATTTTTGTTTGATTTTGTATTGGACTTACTATAGCATGCTTTTTCTATCTTCAGTTTGTTAATACTGCAAATGACTAAACATAGCTATGAGATCTGAGGGCTTTGTTGATCATTTTGAATCCCAGACTTTATCATGCTATTTTGTTTTCTTCGCAAATGATTTGCATCTTGATTAGTTGATTATACTCGTGCCTACATTTCACTGAATGCATAAATAAGTAATAAGCAGTTGTCTACCATGGGAATTTTTTGGCTGTTGGTTTTGTTCTTTAGTGACTACAGTTTGGAAATGTGATGCTACTGATTGGTAGTACGTTTTCTCATTGGGATGGTTTATATGAATTTTTTAGCTTCGTTAGTCTATGAATTTTGTCAATCCCGCTGAATGTATCTTATTTGCAATTGCAATATTCAGAATGCATGGTCTTTTGTTGCTAGATGAAATCATTGATGCCTCTCTTAGAATTGTGGTAAACTGAGATACAGCTTTGTCTTTTTTAAATGCTAACTGTATTTGCTTGCAGACAGTTTAATTAAACTTCGATTAGGTCTTTATTGATGCACTTCGTATGTCTATTTCATCAATAATAGTATCTTCCTCTTCTTGAATTGCCACTTTGAAAGCATTAAACATTTAGTTGTCCAAGAGTCAACCTATTCTTGTTTAACTGAACTAATCAACTATGTTATCTGCCAATCCTTAGTGATTCACTTTGGTTCTATTGGACCTAGCTAGTCAATCTTTCATTGCTTTTGATACCATCTGTTTAATATATGCTTGATAAATTTCAAAGGCTTTGAAATGTGCCGTATGATGAGAAGTTGTTATGTGGGGTAGTTCTTTTGTTTGTTATTGTTGTTTCCTTCTATCTCTGGAGACATAGATTGGTTTTTATGAAAATCATGTCATTAGCTTCACTATCATTGAATTATGATGCTGATGAAATCTGAGGGTAGTTTGTTTTCTTTGAATTACATCTTTTAGTTTGTTGTTATATCCTTTTTGGTGTTGGTATTGGAAGCTTGATTAGAGCCTTTGTGACCAATGTGCTTTTTGCTTTCTCTCTCTCTATATATTAGTAGATCATAGTTCTTTCTTTCTATGATGTTATGTAGGGGTGTTAGACATTTGTGTCTTGGTTTTCATCGAGATCCTACTGTCTGTTGCCCAATGATGGAAAACTCATTTTTGATTGAATGGTTCTGGTTTTCAATTCATCTCTAGCTTTTGCACACCACCTGCTTCATTCTTTCTCTCTCTCTCTCCATTTGCACGTGTGTTTGTGTGTACATATGTATATTTATTTATTTATTTATTTATTTTTGGTGGTGTGTGAAAAGCTATTGATGAGTGCATTTACGGAACTGTTCATAATCTTGGCAAAGATATGAGATCTGAGGGCTCTTTCTAATTGCACTTTTAGAGCTTTCAAAATAAGATGTTGTCTTCAGCCAAAAGAGGCAGAGAAATTCAGTTACATATACAGTGCCAATCTATAACTGTATGTAAGTTAATTGAAATTTTAATTAATGCATCAGAGAAATTTAGACTTAGCATTTCTCTGGTTGATTAAATATGTATTTGTATGTACATTTAATCTTTGCAGTTGGGTGAGGCTGATTTCTACAGTTTTATATGATAATCCATGAATTTTTCACTTTTTTTCTCTTCTATGAGCCTACTTTTCTAGGCAGTCTTACTTAGATACCTTTTACTTGTTAAAGTTTGGTCTTGAGATCACTTGCCCTCAACGGTCTTTGGTATTAGATTGCTCATTAATCCGCCCTGCCTGATGATGGATACTTTATGTGGGGAGAAGTTTCTACGGCATCGTTGTTGGCCTCCATCCTTTCTGCAACTTGTCATCATTGTTGTTGGCACTGGTAGTAGTGGATGTGGAGTGGTTTTCAATGAAATCCTATAGCATCACCATTGATGAGTTGTTAGAACTATTGAGTTTTGACCTCTGAGGGCTTGGCTCGTTCTTTTACCATATGGTGCATTAGAAGATCCTCTGTTTTGATGTTTCTTAGCGTATAACAATATACATGTCAAGGCCCATGCCTTGTTTTAATGTAACTTCTGAAGCTAGCAGTTCAGTGGGATTATTGGTAATGGGAATGGTGTTTGATTCTTAGTAGTGATTGTTGCAGGGTGTTGTGACTGACAGGAAAAAGTTGGAATGCCATGAGAAGGGTGAAGCTGATGCATCCGCTGAGGTTTTTGACCAGAGATGGGAGACCCAATCAAGAATTGAAATTTGTTTTTTGTGTGCTCAGTTCTCACTTGTTATCTGCTTAGATTAGACTAGAACTAGATCTGTTGTTTTTGTTTTAAATAAATGCTTATTATTCATAGGTGTTTTGTGTAAGTCTATGTCTATCTTGGGTTTTCATAGATTATGATTGATTTATGTAAGGATTAAAGTAGGAATATTTTATTTATTAGTTAAATTTATTATTTTTTAAAATTTATATAATTTAAGTTATTGATTTAATTTTTAAAGTTATAATAAGAGACATAAATTTAATTTCATGAATTAAAAATAATTTTTTTAAAATTAAATCGTCCTAATATTTTTTTATAATTTTTTTTAAATACAAAACAAATATGATATTGAATGATTATTATTATATTCTATTGATTAGACAAGTAATATAACCTAAGGAATTGAAAAAAAAAAAAATACTAGATAAGGTTCCTTCTTCTATCCAGGGTTGTTCGTTCGGATAAGTTGGTGAATTATATTATTTTATTTTTCAAATTCATTAATTTTAAATATCTAATTGATTGAATTTTTAATTGGTCTTTATTAATTTTTGAATTAATAGAATAATAAATTATGTTTAAGTTAAATTATATTTTTAATTTTTAATTTCTTATATACCAAACAATTTAAATAAAATTATTTATAAAATATTAAAATATTAAAATATTAAATTAAATATTTTAATAATTTATAAAATCAAATGATTTATTTCATTTTTTAAATTTTATTTTTTAAATTTATTATATTTCAATTAAATTATTGATTAATTTGGTTAATTTGCTTATCATCAAATTAATAATAAAAAATTTTTCAAAATTATTTTTATAATCAATAAAACATAGATCAAAATTTATTTAATAAATAATTAATTTATTGAATTAAATTGATTCTATCAATTAATTTATTTTTCAGCCAATTATTTTGATTAAAATCAGAACATAAACATTTTTATTTTTTATTTACAAGAGAGAAATAAATAATAGTAGTATATTATAAAATTGATATGATCTTCATCAACCCTGCTCTGCTCTGCTTCTGCTTGCACAATTTGTTACACCAAAACTTCTCAGGCATTCTTAGAATTTCAAACGTCCATAGATAATCAAAAGTTGCGATTGATAAATTTTTTTTTTTAACTAGTAAAATTAATGCTCAAAGGCTTGGACTTTCTTTGGGACATTAAGATTGGGCTGGTCTGTCTCTCGGCAACCTTTGTAAACTTACACAAGTCTCTTACTTCTAGTTGTAGCCCACTCTTCTTTTTCCTTTTTCTTATTATATCTAATTTTGGGTCAAAACAGCAAATTGAGAAGGAGAAACGGAACCCCACTTTCCTAATTTGTTCAGTCTCTCTCTAATCTCTATATCTCTCACTCACATTTGATAGTCTGTTCTCCAACGCTAGGAAGCCAAGGGGGGGTGCATGTTTCTAGGTGAGCAATTTCATTTGATTTGTTCATTCCTTTTGTGTTGTTGATTGATTACTGTGTAGAAGATCCTGCCTATTTCAAGTTTTAATGTTTAAAAACTACAACTTTTTCCTTTAGGCTTTAGCAAATTCATTTTGCAGCATACCCTTTTTTTGGTATTTGGCCCTATGATTGATAACTCATTGAAATGGAGCAGTTATTTCTGATTTTCATTTTGGGCATTTGCTATCAGCAATGGCATCAGTATCTTTCTTTTCTTTTCCTTTTCTTTTTTGGTTTCAAATGAGGAACCTCTAATTCTCTTTCTTTCTCTCTTTCTTCATATGGACACGGCTGCTGATGTAGTGAAGGCTAGTAATGAAAATCAGTTGGTTAAAACTGCGAATGACCAATCATAGCTATGAGATCTGAGGGATTTTTGCATGATTCTTAGTCTTTGTCTTTATCATGCCATGCTTTTGCAGCCTTTTTTCCATATGATTTTCATGCAATTAAGTAATTAAGCATTAGTTTACCTTGAAGTTCTTCGGGTTGTTGGTTTTGTACTATGCTGACTACAGTATAGAAATATTGATGCGGCTAATGGCTAGTAGCATGCTCTTTGGAAGTTGGGACCAATAGTAGTTGAAATCTTTTTTAAATGCTTAAGGTGTTTGCTTGGTGATGGCTTAATTCAACTTTAATATGTTTTGTTGGTTGCGCTTTATATGTTTGTTCCGTCAATTTTTAGCATATTACACTTCTTCAACAACTGCTGTGTAAAGCTTGGAAATTTTAGTTGTCTATAAGCAAGGTGTCACGGTCCACACTAACTTGTGAGGTATTGTCTGCTTTGGCCCGCTGGCCTCACGGTTTTGTTTTACGAAAGTCGCCTCACAACTTGAAGGGGTGTGAACCCTTATATCCCAAGATCAACTCTAGTACACAGCCGATGTGGGATTCATGGCTCCTCTCTAGGACCATGACACAAGGCTTGTCAATGTTCTGTTTCTTTTAATTCCAGCTTGTGCTTTGTGCATGCTTTCTGCTAACCTTAATGCTTCACTTTTGGTGCTATTGAGTTTAGAAAGTTAATTGTTTTGTTACCATCTGATGTAATATATGCTTAATGAATTTCACCTGCTTTGCCATGTGGTCAATGATTAGAGTCATTACTTCTGGTAGTTGCCTTGATTTTCATTTGGAACCACCATCATTGCTTCTGCCAACCTGTTCTTGTTGCTGTTGTATATCCTTAAAGGTGTGGATTGGTTTTTATTAAAATCATGAGCTTCACTACTGTTTGATTTTGACACTGATGAGATCTGAGGGTATAACATTTTCTATAAAAGATCACAAGGATTATAAATCTTTCAACTGGGAAATTGTTTTCCTTTTATGAAATTTCTAGTAAAATGTTTTAGATGCGGTGTGGATTGGAGATTTGTTGCATGCTATGAACATTTGTGGAGTGAATGTAAACTTGATTGATTACAGTATAGATGAGCTTGGATATTTAATTTTTAATTTTGACTTTCCAGGTTCAATGAAGATACTCAAAACTAGATTTTCTTCCCTATATTCTTGCATTCTATTATCTGACTGTGAGTTTTGTTTTCCTAAAATTTTTTTGCAAATCGTTTTGGGACCTAATGTGTAACATGCTTTTTGTGTTTGGTTTTTGGCCCAATGATAGAAAACTCATTGAAAGGAGCAGTTATTTCTGATTCTCATTTTGAGCATTTGCTATCATCATCACCAATCATCATCAGCAACAAGCAACAAAAACCAAAATAGTTCTCTCTGTCTCTCTCTCTGGTGCACACTATATATTTATCTATATTCTTAGTGGCTTACCTGATGTGGTGTAAGGCCCTTAATGAGAACCAGTTACTTAATAATGTGGATGACCATACTTAGCTATGAGATCTGAGGTCTTTTTTGATCAGTTTGAATCTTGTCTTAAATGTGTAACTGCATAATTAGCATTATATACTGTGGAAATCTTTGGGTTGTGATTTTCTTCTATAGAGACTACAGTATAGAAAAGTTTATGCTGCTGCTTGCTGCTATTGCGTCATTATTGTTGTGTCTTCAACTCTGAAGAAGTGGATTGGCTTTTATAAAAACCATGACCTCCACTGTTTTTTGACTATGATATTTGATAAGGGAATTGTCTGTTATCTTCCTGAAAGTTGTTATGGGCCTTTCTGGATAGTGCTATGCAGTTATGGTTATGGAGTATGGTATTAGATATTTGTTTCTTGGGATATATTTTAATCTGACACTTACTGCTTTTTGTCCAATGATGGAAAAACTCATTTTGATTTTGCAGTTCTGGTTTTCAATTCAACCCTAGCTTTTATGCAACACCACATTCATTCTCTCTCTCTCTCTCTCTCTCTCTATGTGCACATGTTGTTTGTATATATGTTGAATGCATATGTGTGTGTGTGTGTGTGTGTGTGTGTGTGTGTGTATGTATTTATATGTATATCTTTTTTTTTTGGTATGTAGGAGGCCAAGGCCTAAGGGAAATTGGGGAAGGGAAATTTGCAAGTGCTGGGGATTGAACCTCAGTCTTGTTGAAAACCACCTCCTAATGAAGGTGGGTGAACCATTTGAGCTAAGCCCCATGTTCGTATGTATATCTTTGGTGGTGTGTGAGAAGCGATTGCTGACTGGTCAGTACCATTACAGCCAACCATAAATAATCTTGTTAAAGCTATGAGATCTGAGGGGCTCTCTTGAATTGCACTTTTATGGGTTTCAAAGTCAGATGTAGTCTTTGGACCCCAAAGAAAAGGAAAAAAATGAGTCAAGCTTAGTCCAAAGGGAAGATGGTGTGTGTTTAGATTTTGAGTTATGTTTGAATTAGGGAATTCATCGGTGCCAAATATAGCTCCAAATTATTACAAGTTAATAATGTTTATCGAAATTTTAATCAAGCATTAGAGAAATGCAAATTGTCAGTTTCCCTTTCAATTTTCATACACGCACATACACATAGTTTAGCTGGTATTAAATCTTTGCAGTTGGGTAAGGCTGATTTTTACCTTTTTTTCTTTATGAGTTTGTGTCCTGAGTCAGTTTTAGATAAATCTTTTGCTTGTGTAATTTCAAATTTATTATATTATTTTAGCATTATCAAGTTATATTGTCTTATTCCTGTGCATGGCACTGATGGTGGTTCTGGAATGGGCTTCTATTAAAACTTGTAGCTTTACCATTGTGAATTGTTTTGAGGTTTCTGATTTAATGATTTGCAGGCTGTACGAGTTCATATATACTGCTTTCAAATTTAATTTTGCTCATGGTAAGAACAAGATATCATGCTTTTCAGTATTTGATATGACCATTACTGTGTTGAGATGCTCTTTGGATTAGCCTAGAGGCCACAGGCCTGAAACATTACTGCTTAATTGTCGCACTCTTGAACCTTGATTCCTCTATTTGTAATGCATATTTCAAAGCTTTAGTCCTGTTTCTAAGTATTGTTGATGTTTGAAGAAAATGTTGATTAGATAATATATTTTGTTATTCTTCACATCTTAATGTTTTTGTAGTGACTGGATGAAATCCAGCATCATGTTTTTTTTCTTTTTATATTTGGTTTTGTAGCATTTATGTCTTGCTTCAGTTGGCACTTCATTATACCTGAAGATGCCCTGTTACATGAATAGTGGCCTATATGACAACATGGAATCCACTTCTTTCTCTTTCTCATGACTCTTCTGGAAGCCATTTTTAAATACATTTGATTGGCTGGTTAGTTAATGAATATTGCTTTGTTTGCATTGTTTAGGATTTGCATGTATTTATCTCCTTTTTGCCCGATGATGGACAAATTAACTTTATTGAGTGGTTGCATGGATTATCCATTAAGAGTCTTTATCTACCATATATATATGTGTGTGTGTGTGTGGGTGTGTTTGTGGGTGGGTATATTCCTCACTGTGTGCGTGTGTGTGTGTGAAAGAGAGTTGGTGGTTGGTGTATAAAGACTTTTAATGGATGTCATTGGCCTTATACCACATATGATCAATTCTAAGCTATGAGATCTGAGGGCATCTTTCTTTCTTTCTTTTTCTTTTTTCTCTTTCTTTTTTTTTTGCTGAGGTTATGGGGCTAAATCCCAAATTGGTGCGGGAAACTCCTCCTTAAAGGGAAGTACCCAACCAACTTGGCCAAAGCACATTGCTTAAACCTACTTGCCTTGCTAGCTTATTCTGATAGTTTGCCATTTTTTCAGACTTTTGAGAAAATACATTAGCAGTTTACATTTGGTCTAATGGTAACTCCATGCATTGCTTTTTGTCTTGCAGTTTACCAATACAATAAAATACAAGATAGTCATAGACATTGGTTCCAGTTCAATGCACGATTGTGCTGCTTACTTACAGGGATAATACTAAAGCTCAATATTTTGTGAACAGAAGAGGAGAGGAAAGGCCAAAACAGACATAGAAAAAGCCCTCTCTCCCTCTCATAAACTGATTCTGTTATGATGCTCAGAATCTTTGGATCATTAGTGGAGAAAAAGACTGCCCCATTTCCAGAGTAAAGATCTCGATCACAGTGAAAACCGAAATGGAAAGACACATACAGAGATTCCTAAATAAAGTGTCATTTGTATCAATCACAGCAGCCTCACTTACTCTCCTCTTCCTCTTCCTCCAAACCCCAGAAACATGCATCTCACCTGACGCTCCCCTAAAGCCTCACCTTAGATTCCCCAAATCCACCTGTGACTCTTCCCCTCGCCACTACCTTCCTCTTCCCAAGAAGAATGCCCGCCTCTGGTCCTCCAAATCTTGGATGACCCAGGTCTCTTCCTTTACTCAATTCTTCACCCAACTGTACCAAATGGGTCTCCTAATGAACCAATCCAAAGTCCTCTGTGTCTCTGCTGGAGCTGGCCATGAGGTCATGGCTCTATCCAAAATGGGCCTTGAGGATGTTACAGGTGTTGAACTGATAGAATCCTTGCCTTTGGTTAGCAGGGCCGATCCCCATAATCTTCCCTTCTTTGATGGGGCTTTTGATGTTGCCTTTACCAGTCATTTGGCAGAGTCCTTGTATCCCATGCAGTACGCAGGGGAGATGGAGAGGACTGTAAGAAAAGGTGGACTGTGTGTGGTGGTTGTGAATGAGTGTGATGAGGAGGAAGTCAAGGAGGTTGTTAGGTTATTTAGGAGGTCCAGGCTTCTTGGCTCCGCCGATGTTACCTTGAATGGAAGGAGAATGACCAGGATTATAATGAGAACTAAAGTGTCTGCTTAATCGGTTTTTTTTTTTCATTATTTCAGTGATTTATTTTTCTTTGATTGAGCTTACAATTAGATTATATTAACTTTGATTTGCATTGTTAAATTTATGTTAATTTGTGTATATTATTGGTGGGAATTACTTCTTGTTGTGAATGGAAAAATAGAAATTTGATAGTTGGTTAAAACAAATGCAGAGAGTAACCTGTGAAGGTGAATGTTGGAACTTGGGACCATACAAACAGGTAGAACTGAATAAAGCCTTTAAATGTGTTGAGAACTTTGAGGTAGACAGATACTCTAGTCTACGTCTGGGACTGTATTTCTTCTTTCTTAAGTGAGTCAAAAGATGAAATGTGGCAGCTTTGTTTTAGCGTTTTTTTTTTTACCACTTAAGTTGAGATTCCAAGGCTTTTATTTGTTCCAATTGGTGTTTTTAGTCTTTGATTGATTCTCTTGGTTTTGTGTTTCATTTATTCTACTGAAGCAATCACTGTTCTATTGTTTCATTGATACTCCTTTTTTAGGTAAAAAGAGATCATTCAAGAAAAGAAAATTCATGTAATTTACTATTAGGTCATAATTTTACCTAATTTAAGAAAATAAAATTAAAAATTGGATACAAGCCCAAAAGATAGGTAAAAAAAAATCTAAATATAATAATTTTAAATATGATATTGATTAGGATTAGATATAAAAATTACAAAATTTACAAAAGTAATATAAAAAATGATATAGTTTAAAATTTTAATAAAAATTAATTGATTATAACATCTTAAAAAATAATAGTGTGTTATAATCATTATTATATTTATGTGTGGAGGATACGTGCAATTTAACTAATGTGGGATTTATTTTATCGTCACTTTAATATTCCTCCTGGGTTGTTTGTGGTTTTGAGTTTTTTGTTCATACCATATTAATGTATTCAACAAGTTGTTGCGGCAATACCGTTTTGTCAAGAATAAAATGTTTTTGCAGTTTTACTCACCCATTTATCATCGAACTTAGAAATGCATGTTAAGTAACTTACTACTTTGAAGTTCGAACGTCTTTGCTGTAGAAAATCACACAGTTACGCAGGACAAATGGAGTTATCGACTAATTCATGTCTACAGAATCTATTTTCCTTCAATAACTGTCTTAAAATTAAAATGCATACGTCAAGCTTGAAGATTTGCCTTTGACTTACCTGCTTTAACAATTATAATATAGATAATTTATTTCTTTTATTATATGGAAAGTGATGGTTTATGGTTTTGAAAGAGCTGATGTTTATCCTTTTCTTTTTGGATCGATCCCTGTTACTTGCCGGTATTTATTCCTCTAAATTACCTTGAATTGAAAAGTGCATGTATAAGAAGAAACAGATTACAGAACACAGATCCTACATTAACTTGGTTACATTGATATTGAAATCACATACTAAATTTCTCGGGAACCCATAATTCGGTATTTTCAAGCAACAAAACAGTTATCCAAGAAGTGTAGAGAATCATCTGATCCTTTCACCATAGAAATAAGGTTACTAGACACTGGAAATATGACCAAGTGCTCCAGAATTTTTATCTTAGGCCTTTTGAGCTTGATTTAATATAATGGTTCCGGCGGCAGTACACAAGTATCGAGCTTCTAAAAACTAGTTCTAAAAACAATTGCTCTTGTGCAAATGTGGAAGCGCATGCATGAACACACAAAATCAGTAGGTAGAGATCCTAAAGAGGAAACAAGCGTCTTTCTTTTAGTGCCTCCTCCCATAGTTTCATTCTTTTGAGGGTTTTAATTCTTTCATTTAGCAACCTGAACTGTTGTTTATATTTTCTAGATGCAGACGAGGAAATGTTTATCAGACCTAGAGATAGAAATATTGTGACAAAATGCCTTTTTAACCTACTCAACTTGACATCAACAATGTGGAATCTAGGATGAGAGCAAACACTTGTGTGACCTGTGTTACTTGTTTCATGTTTAAGTTCTCACTGCTTTGTTTCCATGTGATTGCATCATTGTATGTTGATTGGGAGTAAATATTGCGGCCACATATAACCATTTTTTATCTGTTGGTACTGAAGATTAATGGACTTGCTTCCTCATCTCGACTCCGGTTACATCAATGTACAAGGGGTTGACTATGAGGTGACTGCTTTTAAACTTGGTGGAAATTTTATTTCCATGTGTGGAGTTGGATGTAGCTTTAGAATACTCATGAGTCAGTCTCTCTGAACTTCAGTGCCAGCTGTCTATTTAAGTAACTTAAAGCAATAGATGGCTAATTAAGCAGGAGTGATCTGTTTTCTAATCCATGAAGTTGTAATTAAGTTAAAATACATGTTAAAATCCAAGGCTTCCATTATCATAGATGTATTAGTCATTTCAAGCAGCTGCTTGTTCCCAAGTTAAGCCCTCCAATTAAAGACACATAATCCCTTGCACCAGAAAATTCCAAATATTTGATCATCTTGGGCAATTTTTTTTTCCCTGAGAGTAGCATTAGTTGTGGTTTGAAGTTGACCATCGCACATGTCTGTGCATGCAAGGCAAGATTTCAGTGTATTGGATATTACATGGAATTGCTTGATGTAAGGCATGAGTTATTGACTCAACAGTAATACATTCACCTAAAGGTGAAGTCTTCATCTGATATTTTGATTTATTAAGCTTTCTTCATGTGTTGTTCCTCATTCTTCTGAATATTTAATGCTGTAAAGTCACTAAAAAGAGTTGGACTTTGATGGCTTGGTCAGAAAGACCATTTGATTATTAGCTTATTATAATTATGAAACAGCAGAAATCTGGAGCTCCAGGCACAAAGAGACAATATTTTCTGAGTTCACTTTCACATGTGACATGATCTCCATTTCTTTTTATAAAAGCTTTTGTCATCATACCTGAAGATCATAGAGCTTCTTTATCTTTATATGTAGCTCTCATATGCCCTCCGTCTATTGGTGTTGGAAAAAAAGAAAGTGATGGAATAATATAAAAAGTGAAATTTTGCAGCAGTTTGCAGTTGGAACGGTTGTTGTAAGATTCCAAAATTTTCTCACTTTCTCTTTACTTGTGAACGAAGATTTTAAGGTTTTAACCAGACCATCCCAAACTGAGACTATGACTTTGTGGCTTGGGCTTGTGGTCCTGAATATTTCTTTTGTGGTTTCAATTTGGTTAAACTTTCAAGGTCAAGGGTCAAGACTCCAGATAACTGGCAAGAGGAATCTGCCAGTTTGCACTGTGGTGGGGGCTTGGGGCTTTGTGGCGTGAGGCTTGATATTGGCAAGCAGGAGATCCCAAAAAAGAGGGTCCCATGGTTTTGAGATCATCAGTTCAATCAACAGCTCACCAACTGCCATTGATTTTTCATATGTGGTGACCATTAGGTTTCTCCAATCTATTTTGCAGAAACATATCCACCTTGGAATAGAGATTAATCAGTCGGCATGCGAAGAAAATTTTAGGATAAGATCTTTAAAAAGAAAAACTTGTTTTGAAAGCGGTGGTCATTTAATTTATTGGTAGTATATTAAATTTTTAATTTCAATAATTAAAATTTTATCAAACAATATTTATAAAGATTTCTCTTTTCTATCCATTTTCCATTTCCATGACCTGTTTGATAGATATCATTGCACTAAAATTAGGGATGTAATCAAGTTTAATCAAGTTAATACAATGAAAAATTTAAATTCGATTTGAAATTTATTGCTTGAATTTTAGTTTGAGTTTGATCAAATTTTAATTTTTAAATTCGAACTTGATTTAAGATAAAAGTTAAGATATTCGAATTCACTTAATTAAATTTATTTATTGAATAAAAAATAAATTAAATTTTTATGTTCGATTTTAAATTCGATTATTTGTATTCGAATTCGAATTTAACCTCAAATTCATAAACATGAATAAAATATTAATTTTTTAACTAAAATAATAATATATATATATATTAAAATATAAAAACTCAATTAAAATTATAAGTTACTTAACCTAAATATTAAGATATTCGAATTTGATTTATTCAATAAGTCAAACAGTTTGAATTTAAATTCAATTCAATAATAATCGAATCAAATTTAAATTTTATCCAAATCGAATCTAAATAATTTGCTATCACTAATGTGTTACCCCTAACTAAAACCGAGATTGAAGTTGCAATGTTTTGGAAAGAACAATACTTTTAGAGCTGAATTCAACTTGGTTTCTAACATCTAAAACATGAATGTTAGGTTATCTAATTGTGTGAAAGCATGTCTCAACTTTTTTTTCGTATCTGATTGAAATAGGAGAATTGAACTTTCCATTTACAATTCTTTTCCCTTCTGTGATATGGGGCATTGAGTCTGCTTAAACTGGAAGACCTAACCTAAATTCTGAATCAGAACTCCTTATCCTTAGACCTTGGCTACCTGACTTTGGTCAATAGGTCTGTTCATTACTCAATTAGTAGCAGTATTTTAATTTTAAAATAGACTTTATACCTAAATAAATATATTAAAGGAACACTTCATTTATCATGTCTTGAAATCTTAATTCTGATATTTTATGATTTCTTTTTTCCCTTAGATATATTTAAAATGATGGACCAATCAATTCTAACAACTTCTTGAATCTTCAAAATAAAAATTATATCAATAAAGCTCATGGTGGTTAAAATAGACCAACATTTGATTAAAATCAAGTCTCTATATTTGATTGAAAACTCTGTAAAGGAAACGACATCGTTTCGCAAAAAGTTTTGACATGAAAGTCTTGTTTGGAAATGGTGAATGATCATTGATCCCAACACTCAAACCCTTAATTACTCAAAAGAAAACGAAATAAAATATTAAATACAACATTTCTTGTCCTTGTCCGCAAGTGTGGATTTGATGTCTTCTTTTAAATTTGCTTTTCTTTTTATTTTCTTTATAGAGAAAATAAAGTAGGTGTGAAAAGAATAAAGACTGTTCATTTCACACCTGTTTTAGGGGCCATAAAAAATATTTTCATTGTTTTTCAATTGAGGACCACTACGTGAGGGTGATAGGCTACAAAATAATTCTTCGGAACAATGAACTTGAGGCTGCGTCTAATTAAAGGTCCACAACAATTGCGTTTTAGGGAGCTGCGTGAAATTCGTTATAAGTGAAGTGACGTTGATAGTTTATTCGTAAATATTTAGAACTCGTTTGAACGAGCGATTAGCGCTGTGGGGACGTGATTTTTTTTTTTTTTTTTTGTTTTGGGTCTAATCGTATTCTGATAATGTTTGAATATGACTAGTGAGTCAGTTAGCCTTTTTTCCCATTTTGGTCCTTTTCTTTTTAATTTTATTCTTTTTTTTTAAGTTATAATAATTTTTATGTGTTTAAATTAACCTTTCAATTTTTTTTTCACTTTGATTTTTTATTTAAAAATTTTAAAATAAAAAATTTATTGATTTAATATAATAAATAATTTTTACTATATAATAAATAATAAATATTAATATTTTAAGTGAATGAAAATTTTAAGATTTTAGATATTATAAATAATGTTATAATATATAAAATAATTTATTAATAT